AATTCACCACACACATGTTGGCGCTCACCTCGCACGATCGTCCAAGGCTCGGATGTCCTCCCCTATCTCTGAGAAGCTTGCTGCTGGCACATTGCTTACAACAACGGCTTTCAAAGAAGAAAGCCCTTTCTATCTGCCTGTGGTCATTCGAAGGAGCTCGGCCACAGACAAAATGACCGCTGCTCGACCCACGAGCTTGCAAATGAATGACCTTGGTCTTCTTGTGTTCGAACATGATACAGTCTGGCCTCCAGGTTTCGGCATTCCCTGCAGCCGCAGACTCTGTGAAGGCAGCATCAGCGACTAATCTGTCTGAACCATCGGACGTAGATTCATACGTTGACGATGAGGACGACGATTCATCGGAAGAATCTGCAGCGGGCCCCTCAGACGCATTTCTGGCCTGATCATACCAAGCTCGCTCGACCTCCTCCTCCACCTCATTCTCCAAGGGTTCAAGCGAACCAGCAAGACTGCCTCCCTCAGTAGATAAGCCATTCCCATCAGGCGATCTGTTTGCCGTTTGCTCCAGTTCCACAAGCGGCTGTTGTTGCTCCAAACCGACATCAGGAAAAGAATCGGCGCCCTGCCCGGGACTCCTTGGCCAACTACGCTCGCCCTCTGGCACAAACCTGCCCGACCGACTGAGATCAGGCGCAAACGCTCCAATCCTCACCTCCTTGATGATTTGCACATAACGGATAAGTGCAGGAGCCAGAAGGTCTCGAGAGTAGGCATCCAAGGATCCATCCTTATCAGAATGATGTCCCAACCTCAGCCGCAGACTCCGCTCCAGACCATACTTCGCTGTCCATGAAAGCGTTGTGTGTTTCAGGGAATGGCTCGTTACCTTCTCCACATCATGATGGCACCTCTCAAGCAGTGCCTTCAACCATCTTGTCATCTCGCCTGAAGTTGCAGCTCGCTCAGACCAAAAACCATCCGGATTGGGGGCCGGAAGAACGGGCCCTTTCTGCCTTCCATCCAATGGCAAACCAGCTTCCACTGCAACTCGAACCCAAGTTGTAGCCCAGCTAGTACGACCAACGCCACACGCAACTGCTACAAGAGGCATGGCCAGGCCGCTCCGGGCCACAAGGTTCGCAGTTTTGTGGCTCCTGGTAGAACATTCGACGAACCCTTCTTCACTAAGAGCCACAGATTCCAAATCGAGAATCCAATCCTCGACCAGTCGGAGATCTGATGACCGGCTCCTGCTGTAAATCGCAAAAAGGAAAGCGCCACAAGCATACCTATCTATGATTCCAAGGAGTACATCTGCGAGCATCTCTTCCAAGCTGCGAACCATGGCCACAGTCAAGGGATGACGAGGTTCACGAGGCTGTCTGTTTATATCATTCAATCCAACCAGTCCTTTGGACCATGGACTCCAGAGGCATCTGCTCTCACACACCGAAATTCCGACAACATGCACAGCGAAGTTAACAGCCTCAGTGAAAGCATGAAATCTGCCCGCGGGCGCCGACTCATCCCTCAAGGACTGCAAATAGGCATCAATCATCGCTCCATCAAAAGGAATGACAGCTTCGAAAGGCCGACGTTTTCTTGCCCATGCAAAGAATAATACAAGCGCATTGGCCCTTTTCGATACTGTTTCCACACTCTTCTTCCCAAACAGCTCCCTCAGCATCTTAAGGGAAGCGACGAGCTCACCCACTGGCAGAGACGCCCCTATCAAGGAAGAAGAAAGGTCTTCCGTCACAATTCCATACCACTTCTCCAAGGCACGGTCCCATTTCAAGGAAACAGTCTGTGAATCTGACAAACGAGCACCAAAATTGATGGCCTTCAGGAACAGCCCAGCACTGACATCCACCCTCCGGGCTCTCTTGGCTCTCTTTACATCCTCCGGACTCTCGAGTGGCGGTAGGGGCCCTGGAAGCGGAATCATGGGAAAAACTTCAGGAACGATCTCTTGCTTTCCGAAAACCACAGACATGGCACCACCAGCTTCCCATGGCAGTTTCAAGTTCGAAAAATCATGCCTTACAGCCACATGTATAGCTTCCTGCACAGCATCCGCTACCGCCGTTGTCCCGCTCACCCCCGAACTGGAAGATCCAGACAACGGCGGAGAAGTAGAGGAGTCAGTCATAGGCTGCGCTGGCCGGCGGCCTGAAGAAAGTCTCCCAGCGCCAAGAAGATGCGCTGCAGCAACGACGCCAAGGCGTTGCCACGAGACTGGGAGGCCGCCGAGTCTCTTTGCAGCACTCGAACCTCGGCGTCTAGAGAGGCCAGCCGCTCTTCAAAAGCAAGGCGGTCACGCGCAGCGTCCTCACGAACAGCCTGCAGCTGCTCAAACACCAGATTTTCCAAGTCAGTGAGAGAACTGACAGGAGAAGAAGAATCAGAGGCCAGGGCCATGCAGAGATGACGTGCAATCCTTAGAGGGGCCTCGAACCTTTAGACGTGTGTACGGAGTGGCGGGCAAACGTCGGCAAGATCTCACTCTGCTTGCAGGAGCGCGGGCCCCGGAAGGCCTTTGCTCACCACTACCGGCGCAGGAGTCTCACCCGTCGGTCTACCCGCACTCACGCACGCGCCTCAAAAACCCGATATGTTTTGATTTGCTCTCGCACATGCGAGCCACATACTGCATGACAACGGCAATGCACACGCATTCCCAACAAAATCAAAACATATCACAAACGTTTATCCTTCCCGTTGTGAAAAACATACATGAAAGAAACTGCAAACAAATGCCCTCTTTTTGTTTATAAAACAAAAAGTCCCAGCTGTTGAAAATAAAGCTTCATCCACCTACGGTAGAGTGGCAGCAAACTTCCTTTCTTCGGCTGTTTGATCCAACACGCCCGGAGGCGGAAGGGTATCCGCTGCGGATGATGTAGCGGTCTCGGATGTAGGCCCTTCCGCCGCTGTCACGGTTGCTGGCTCTGGAGCTGCAGGCAAAGACTCTACAGCCACTGGCGCTTCTGGAACCGTCAAAGGCGAGGAAGTTGGAACCACAAACCAGGCCTTCGGTGCAGCCCCTGGTCGGCGGTGGAGGAGGTGGCGGAGGAGGAGCCCGAGGGCATGGCGGTGGCGGCGGCAGGCCCCACGGCGGAGGAGGTACCGGAGGAGGGTGGTTGTGGGGCCGGGGGCCCCGTGGAGGTTGCGGCGGTGGGATGGGGCCCCCGGGGGGGCACTTGTGCCCCCCCAAGCCGCGCGGGCGTGGGAGGAGGCAGGGGAGCTGGAGGAGGAGGATGAGGAGGAGGAGAGGGCGGAGCTCCACCACAGCCGTGGTGGGCGGCATCAGCCTGCGCATCGAAGTGCAGGTGCCAGGCCTGGAGCGCCTCGTCAACCTGCTGCTGCAGCAACAGCAGCAGCAGCAGCAGGTTGCGCTCACAGCGCCGCGCGGGCCGCTTCGCGGCCCCGATGGGAGATTTCTCCCACGGGATGGAGGAGGAGGAGGAGGGCTGGTGGGGGGAGCCGTGACCCCGAGCGGCTGCTCAGCCCTCGGGACTCCGGGCGCAGCCCGAAGGCAGCGCTGCGGCCGCTGCAGCCAGTGCAAGGCGCTGCTGCCGGCAAGGGCCACGAGGGGCCCTTGCGATTTGTGGAGCTGCGACCCAGCCCAGGCGGCCCAGGCGGCCGAGGCGGCCGCGGCCGCGAAGGCCGAGAAGGAGGCCGCCAAGGCTGAGAAGGAGGCCGCAAGGGCCGAGAGGGCCAAAAACCAGGAGGCCAAGGAGGCCCGAGAGGCCAGAGCGGCCGCAAAGGCCGCGGCCAAGAGGGTCGAGAGGCCGTCAGGAGGAGGGAGGAGAGGAGGAGGCCAGGGCGGCCCGAGAAAGGGAGGAGGCCGACTACTATGCGGCGAAGCGCCGCCGGGACTGGGCCAAGGAGGAGGATGAGGAGGAGGATGAGAGCGAGAGCAGCTCGGGGCTCGGCGGTCGATCGGAAGGTCGTGGCGGTGGACCGGGCGGCGGTGGACCGAAAGCTGCGGGGGATGGCAGTGGAGGTGGCACGGGAGCTCCCGGCGGTGGCCTGGCGGAGGGAGGCAGTGGCGGTGGAGAGGTGGCCGCGGCGGAGGGAGGCAGTGGCGGTGGAACGGGTGGAGTGGGGGCGGTGGGGGATGGCAGTGGAGGTGGAGCGGGAGCCCCCGTCTATAGGCGGTGGAGACCGCCGAGCGGCGGTGGTATGGAGGTGGACGAGCTGGAGCTCTTGAGGTTGGCGGAGGAGTCCGCGGAAAGCTTCCGCCGGGTCCTGCACAAGGAGGTGGAGGCAGAGGCGGAGCGGGAGCGGAGGAGGAAGCCGGAGGAGCCGGAGGAGCCGGAGGAGCCGGAGGAGCCGGAGGAGCCGGAGGAGCCGGAAGGGAGGAGGAAGGGCAAAAAGCGGCGGCGCCGGAGTCGCAGCCGCAAAGGCGCCCGGCGCGACCGGCGCGACCGGCGCGATGGCGGCGGCGGCAGCAGCGCCCGGCGCGACGGCGGCGGCGGGCGGCGCAGCATGGCCGTCTGAGAGGGGGGCATGGCATGACATGGACAGCAGCAACACAGCACAGCAGGACAACACAGCAACACACAGCACGACAACACACAGCACAGGCACACTTGAGGGCACACGTAGCACAACGAACGCCACGTAGCACAACGAGCCCGTGTGTTCCGAAGCTCCCCCCCCCGTTAGTTCAAGAGGTAAACCTTAAAAACCGAGGCGTAGGCGGGTAAGGGGAGGGGAGCTCCAGAACACACGGGGCCACGGGTACCCCGGGAGGGCCCGACCACGAGGGGTGAGGTTCGGAGCGCGCCAAAAAGGTGGGGCGCGCCTTGGGTCTCCCTTCCCCAACCCCTTCGGTTGCCTCTAGCCCCTTAGGTGCCCGAGCCCCCTTCCGCGGTTTCCCTCCCGTCCCTTGTCCTCCCTGAAGCGCCCGAGCCCTCCCCCCCGGAACCTTCCCTGCGGCCCCTGCGTCCCTAAGCCTCCCGTAAGCCCCTGAGGGTGTTCCCCCCTTCCAGGGTCTTTCAGGGCACCCTATCCCTGGTGTACCAACCCTAGGTCCCGAGACTCTTAGGCCCGCCTGGTTGTCCCCCCGTCTTCTTTCTCGAGAGGGGCTTCGGCCCCTCTCTCCTTTTTTTCCCGGCCGATGGGGGGGCGCCTTCTCGTGGCGGCCGGGGTCAGTACCCCTGCGGGGGGAAGCCAGGACCCCCCCAACAAAATTATCGTCCCTTTTTCTCTCCGGGCGCGCAGGCCTGTGCTCTCGCCTCCCGCGCCCGCCCCGCCCTTCATGCAGACCAGCATGCGGTGCAGCGTGCCCTCGCCGTCCCTGAACTCGTCCTCCTCGACCGCCAAGGGCTCGCTCTCCACCAGGTCCAGCGTCCGCGCCACGTGGTGGTCGCACGCGGCCCGTCCCCGCCGCGCCGCCGGGCGCAGCAGGCTCTGCTCCAGCGCGTGGCGCCGGCCGGCGCAGGGGGTCATCCTTTCCACGGTGATGCGCAGTGCGCGCAGCTCCCACACCGCGCACCGGCCGACCTCCCGCAGGTGGGCGGAGCACTCCGCCAGGAACATGTTGTGGAGCTCCCGCTGGAAGACCAGCACCCTCGTGCGCAGGGGGTCCTCGCGGAGGGTCCGGCAGGCGCCCAGCCAGCTGAGCGCGTCCCGCCCGCGCACCATGGCCTCGTGGTTGTACGCGAGCCCGGCCCATGCGCTCGGCCATGTGCATCAGGTGGTGGTAGAAGGGCACAAAGTCCGCCTGCCAAGCAGCCAGAGCAGGATCTCCTGCAGCAGGCAGGGCGGCAGCGCCCGGAAGGCGCCCGCGGCGCGGGGCCGCCTGGCCACGCGGGGCACGAAGAAGAGCTCGCTCGCCATTGATGCTGGAAACGGCTGCGGAGCGAGTGCGAGCGAGTGCTGCGGAGCGCGGCTCCGTGGCTCCGTGGTGCAAGCCTTCCCGCGCGCGTCCCTTCTTTTTTTTTACCCTCCCGCGGTCTCTCGTCAGCGCCGCGCCCTGCGCAGGTCCCGCGTCATCCGCACGATCGTGTCCGCCGCGTTCTCGCCCAGCGCCAGGCGGTGGTGCTCCTGGTTGAGGAAGAGCCACAGCAGCAGCCGGGCCCGGCGCGGGAGGCCCTGGCGGCGCAGGCTGCCCGCGGCGAACTCCAGATGCTGCACGGTCCTCTCCAGCCTCGCGGGCTTGAACACCTCCGCCTCGAGGTCCAGCAGCCCGCCGCCCAGCCCGCGCAGGCGCCGGCGCTCCCCGGCGTGGTAGGCCCGCAGGGCCTCCAGCACCTCCCGCTGGAAGCTTTGGTCCTCCGCCTCCAGGCGCTCCTCCGCCTCCCGCGCCCGCCAGGCCAGCAGCTGCGGGTCCAGGAAGCTGGCGCCGCAGGCCTGCAGGGCCCGGGCCTCCTTCACGTCCTGCTTCAGCCGCACGAAGACGCGGTGCGCCGGTCCACCCGCGGAGGCGGCTTCAGGAGCCGCTCGTCCTCCTCCCAGCCGCTGCTGTCCGAGCTGTCCATGGCGCCCACGGGAGCTTGAATGGCTGCAGAGCTGTGCCGAGGCCGCTGCGTTCGTGTTCCCTCCCTGCCGTGGTCGGTTGCAAAACACAAGTGGCTTGTGCTTTTCGGCTTTGGGTTTTTTTAGCGTCCTGCCCCGTGGGTGAATGTGGGTGAGACGTTGCCGAGGGGGCGATGCTGTCCTGCCCCACTGGGTGAGACCTACTTCAGGCGGAACTGCACCCTGGCCTCGTCGGCCTCAACGGATTTCCTGGACTTGGGCGTTACGAGCTTGCCGGTGGTGGGGTTGACGGCGTCGAGCTCGTTGGACCACCTGTTCTTGGCCCAGCACAGCCGCGAGGCCTCCACGGTCCCGTCCTTGGTCCTGGCCGTGAGGATCTCCAGGTCCGCCCTGTACTGCTCGAGCGTCCTGGCCGCCAGCTCCAGCCACTCCACCTGCGTCACGCGGCGCACCCGCAGGCCCAGCACGGTCTCCACCTCGGGCTCCGCGGGCTCCGCGGGCTCCGTCGGCTCCGCGGGCTTCTCGGGCTCGGTCTCCGCGGCCTGCGGGAGCTCCTCCGCGTCCTCCATGGCCTCCATGGTCGGGGCCTCCACGTCCTCCACTCGACCTTGCCGTCCTCCAAGGCCAGCTGGAGCTTGGTGACGCTCTGGTTCCAGAGGCGCGGTTTGATTTCGTAGACCCTCCCCTCCAGCTTCTTGAAGTCGCCGGGCCGGTGCCATCTGTCCCAGACGGGCGCCATCAACGGCTCCCTGTCGCCGAGCCGGTCTGCGGCTTCAGCGTCCTCCTGTGAAGCGCAGCTTCTCGCCGTTCAGGTCCAGCTCGTGAAGCTCGCCGAGGGGCTCCTCGGGCTCGGCGGGTTTCGCAAGGCCGCTGCTGGCGGCCGTGCTCTCCTGCTCGTGGCTCCACGCGGGCTCCGCGACCTTCAGGGGCTCGTGGCTTCGCACGGGCTCCGCCGCCATGGCCTCCTCCACCACCGTCGCGAGCTTCAGCCTGAGGAACTCGGCCGGGTTGAAGTACTGCGTGCGAAAGCGCAGGCCCAGGAGCGCCGCGGTGATGTTTTTCTGGTTGGAGGCTTCCTTGACCTTCCCGTCCACGAGCTGCGCCGCCACGGCGCCGTGCTTGGTGACGGCCTGCAGCTGCTCGAAGAGGCTCTTGCCCGTCCTGGGATGCCTCGGCAAGGTTTGCAGGGCCTTGAGCTGGGTCGCGTTGCAGGGTTCACAATTCTTAATGCCACACACAAGACTTACCTAGCGGGCCTAAGCCGAAAGCTAAAAGCTAAAAGCCAACTGTAAGACCACGACTGCAACACGCTCTCTCACTTTTGACTTTGCCGGTTATGCAGCTCTGAGTAGTTAAGCGAAAGCAAAGCTATGCAAGGCGTAACTACAAGCCAGTAAGCTAGAACACCCGGGCCTAACAACAAGAACCAAAAGCCATAAGAAGTCACATCAAAACCCAAGAACTGGCCAGTAGTATACGCTGTGAAATGCGTATCGTCGAAGCAGAGCTTGCTGAAGGTGTGAAACGCATCGAAGCATCAAGCAGTCACAACGCCGCTCAAAGCAAGGTCAACAACTGTAACCAAAAAGCTAACACCAAAAAGCCGAACGAAGCTGAAAAGCAATCCCTGGGAGCGGAGGGTGAAAAGAAAGCTGCAATGCTAAGCTCTGAATGCTTGTGTGTGGCTTGAACCATGAAGCGGTGCATAAAGTCTGTGATGGTTCAAACAGAATTGCAAACACCATTGAGTAAACACAAATACCGTTCACAATTCTTAATGCCACACACAAGACTTACCTAGCGGGCCTAAGCCGAAAGCTAAAAGCTAAAAGCCAACTGTAAGACCACGACTGCAACACGCTCCCCCCCCCCTTACATAAGGGAAGGCGCTAGAAGCCCCCCCCCCCTTACATAAGGGAAGGCGCTAGATGCCAAAGAAAGCTTGAAGCTTGTCATAAGCACAAAGAAGAAGCGCTGTAAATCCCTGAATGCAGTGGAAAATTGCGCGCTCTGACCCAAGCTGAAACCAACCCCACGCAGGAAAGCACAAAGCTAGACGCAGTTGGGACAGACCCAGTCGAATCACACGGGACTGTGCACGCACACCGGAACGCACCGTGAAGTTGAACAGTTCTGAGTGTGAAACAAAGGCCGCCTGCATCAAGAGCCTCTAAATGCAAAAGAACGCAAAAAGGCGTGGGGTATTCCCTCTCTTGAGGCCCGACAGAAACTCAATGGAGAAGCTCTGAAAAGCACTGAGTTACAGCACAAGGCTGCGTTGAAGCCAAGCCAAGCTCTGAAGGAACATGGATCATGTTCAAGCAGAGGCCCGAAGGGCAAACGGGGCACGCCTTTCTTGAGGCCCGTCAGCAGCTCAATAAAGAAGCTCTGACTAGCACTGAGGGAAATCCGTCATCATCAGGCGAAGGCCCCGAAAAACAGAAAGCGCCGCACTGCGATCAAAGCAACTGTGGCCAACGCTACAAAGCTGCAGCTCAGAGAGCAGCAAAGCCCCAGCTCCGAGGGCAGTAGCACTGCTCAAGAAAGAAAAGCACCGAAAGGCGGAAAGCTGCAAAGCTCTCCACCGCGTTTTAAGAAACAAAAGCGACCTACTGCAGCGCCGAAAGCAGTGAAGCGGGTCCAAAGCTCAGGTAAAGCCCAAGCTGCTGCGAACGGTACATACCGCCCAGCACAATAGCCAGGGCTTGCGTATGTCCGGACAATGATCGGAGTGATATGTACTGAGGTGAATAGAGTGCACAGTATTTATTATCCCGCTCTGTAGCGGCCAAAAAGAGCCAACGCCTGTGTATGTCCGGACAAAAAAAAAATCTGAGCGATGTGAGCATACTGAAGCGGAGAGAGTGCACAGTATTTACTATCCCGCTCTGTAGCGGCAGAAAAGCTACTTGAACGAAGGAAGAAGGTGGCTCACCTGAGTGTGAAAAACCAAAGCCTGTATGTGCCCGGACACGTGCTCGACGGCCATTGGGCAAAACGCACTGACCGTCTGAGGCGAATAGAGTGCACAGTGTTTATTATTGATGCAAGCTCTGATGCATGTCAGTGAAGCTCTGAGCGCCGCACGCGTTAGCCCAGAGGCTAAAGCACAAGCCAAGCTCGAGGAGGCACTGACGCCGAAAGAGAGAGCCCTAATGCTAAGGCTGCGGCCAAGAGCAGGATAAGCACTGAGAAGGTCCATTACGGCTGTCTGTCCAACAGTTAGCCCGAAGTTGGTTAGCAAGCTCCCTGCCCATAAAAGAGAAGCCCGAAAAACCCACAAGCTAAAGTCAAAGCCAAGCTCGGATAGGCAAAGACGCCGACAAAAGCTGAGGGAGTCGGTCGGAGGGCCAGTCCTGAGACTAAGCGTTAGCCCGCCGGCCAAAGTCAAAGCCAAGCTCGGAGAGGCAATGATGCAGGCAAAATGTCAGGTGGCGGGGGCTAGTCTTTGACACAGGCTAAAGTCAAAGCGAAACTCAGACAAGCAGTAACGCCGACAAGCGCGGAGAAAGTTGGTCCCAGCGTTAGACCGTAGGCTAAGGTCAATGCCAAGCCCAGTAAAGCGTTGGGTCTGCATGTAGCAGAAGCCATGCTGCTGCACGCCGGCTGGCGCCGATGTTTGTGCGATCTGACCCGGACGCCATGAAGCGAAGATCTCTGAGGCCAGAAGCAATAATGCCTAAAGCCCAGCGACAGCCAGAGGACTAAAGCCAAGTACGCTGCGAGCGCATCGAAGCAAAAAGCTCTGAGAGCGAAGCATGCACGAGCTCTGTGTGCTAATGCCACAAGCTTAGACACTTCGGCTGTAAAACGTGCACAAGCACCCAATGCACGGGAAGCACACTGGCTCCAAAGAAAAGCTCCGAAAGGCAGAAAGCACCGCACTGCCTGCAGCACAGGACATGCAATGATGCCGACAAGCGCTCAGGAAGTCGGCCCAAGCATTAGCCCGCAGGCTAAGATCAAAGCCAAGCCCAGCAAAGCGATGACGCCGATAAAAGCTCAAGGAGCGTGTCAAAATATAGCTCTCAACTTAAAAACCGAGCCGAGCTCAGGGGAGCAGCGACGCCGACACGATGACTTCCCAAGAAATAGCCCTGAGGCTAGGGCCGAGGCCAAGTTTGGAGAGGCAACGACGCCCATAAGCGCGAAGAAAGTCCACCAAGGACGCGGAATGTCTTGGCACAAAGTTCACAACACCAGGCGGGGACCTTACAAGGGCCAAGGCCATGCAACGCAAACGTTTGTCGCCCTGAAAGTGCCTGCGCAGGTTGGCCACACAACGGACAGAGTAGGTGAATGCAGCGCAGGTGGCTCGACAGCAACTCGTTTGGCTCACAGAGTTGATGCGGCCGGCAATGGCGGAGCTATGTAGTTTGCAGGGCATGTGAAAGTGGCGCATATGGCTTTGGAGCAGCTGAGCTGAGACAGCGTGGTGGAAGCCAGTTCCGCCATATCTGGCACAAAGCCTGTGGGACACGTGAAAGTAGCACAGGAGAGCTTGCAGCAACTTGTTTGCGACAGTGCTGCAGGCAACGCACTTTGGGCAGAAGCGTGAGGCAGATAAATCAGGCAAGTAAGATGTGCGAACCCATGAACGTGGTTCCCCACGAAGGTACCTGTGCACATCGCTCGCACGACAACGCTCCCTGCAAGCTCTGGCAGAAGCAAAGGCCCAGGAGCAATGTCCGCAGGGCGCTAGGGAGATAGATTCCCTCCAAGCTGTGGTTGAAGCCATCTTCAAAGGTCAATGTGTCTGCCCGGTGCTGGGGAACAGGATCCCTTCCAGGCTCTGGTTGGATTCGCGCCCAAAGTCCCATGTCTGCAATGCGCTGAGGGGCTGGCCCCACTCCCAGCTCTTGTTGAAGGTGTCAATGTCTGCAGCGCGCTGGGGAGCTGGATCCAATGCTGCAAGCAAGTTCTAATTAAACTGGCTCCCAAACGCCAAACGTCTCCAACGTGCTGGGGAGCTGGATCCCCTTCAAGCTCTCTGGTTGAAAGG